GAAGCTTGCCTGGGCTACTGCGACCGCTCGAGTTTGCAGAAAGCAGTAATCTGCAATGACTACGGCTGTTCCAGTATTGCAGAGAGAGTAAATCTGCAATTACTGCGACCGCGCCGGTCTTGCAACAAAAGAGAAGCTGCCATCACCAGGGCCGCTCCAGTATTGCAGAGAGCGATAAACTGCAAGTGCTGGGACCGCTCCAGGATTGCAGAAAGAGAAGCTGCAATGCTATCGCCGCAGCAACATTGCAGAAGGATAACCTGCATTGTTGCCAGCGCTCCAGTTCGCGGAAGATCTAATCTGCGATTACTATGGCTGTTGCAGTAGTGCAGAAGAGAACCTGCAATTACTGCGGCCGCTCCGGTATTGCAGAAAGAGAGAAGCTGCCATCACTATGGCCGCTTTAGTGTCGCAGATTAGATAAAGCGAAATTACTGCGACCGCTCCAGGATTGCAGAAGTAGAAGTTAAGAGTACCATGGACGCGTCGGTCTTGCAGGAGGGTACTAAACAGCAATTATTGCGACCGCTTCAAGATTGCAGAATAGAAGCTTCGTTACTGTGGCTGTTCCGGTGTTGCAGAGGAAAGAGATTGCAATTACTGCGACCGCTCCAGCATTGCGGAGAGAGAGAAGCTGCCACGATTAGGATCGCTGCAGTATCGCAGAGGCAGATAAACTGCGATCATTGCGACCGCTCCCGGATCGCAGAAAGAAAGTGCTCCACTTAATATGGTCGCATCAGTCTTGCAGGGCGAAATGAACAGCATTAACTGCGACCGCTCCAGCTTGCACTGAGCCCCAAACGGGATACAGGCGAAGTGAAGACTTGAGTTCCGAGCGGGTTTGATTGAACTGAGCCCCATGCGGGAGGTGCAAGTAAATTGAGAGGTTGAGTCCCAAGCGGGAGGTTGAAATAAGTTGAGACATTGAGCCCCATGCGGGAGGCTCAAGTAAATTGAGAGGTTGAGTCCCAAGCGGGAGGTTGAAATAAGTTGAGACATTCGAGCTCCAATCGGGAGGTTTAAGGAAAATGAGAGGTCGAAGTAAATTGAGAGGTCCGAGCCCCAAGCGAACGGTTTCTGTAAATCGAGAGGTGGAGCCCCAAGCGGGAGGTTTAAGTAAATTGAGAGGCTGAGCCCCAAGCGGGATAAGTAAATTGAGAGGTTGCGAGCCTTTAAGTAAATTGAAGGCCCCAAGCGGGGTCTGAGCGAAAGCTGAGCCAGAAGTGCGGTTCGAATCGCAAGCAAAAACAATGAGTCGACTAGACAGGATGGTGTTTTCTGGTAGTCGATTGTCGAGTCCTCACCTTTCAGCGCCACGGAACCGATTTTATGATATGTTGGGCTCGATCTTTTAGTCTGCGACTGTCACGTCTTTACATACATGTGCGATCGGCAGCAGCTTGTTTTTGCATCGGAACTAGCATCCTTTTTTGTCCTCGTCTCGTCCTCGGAAGTCGGTTCTCTCGGTCTTTTTTCATGCTTGATCGCTTCAGGTCGATATGGCAGGCTACCCGGGCCGCGGTCTGAGTATTTGCCTTAGCTGTGAGCTCGCTTTTTTCCTTTTTTTCCGCGCGAGATCCGCTCTACTTCTTCCCTTACACCACTATTCGCGACGAGCTTCAGTTCGAGTCTTTGCCTCGGTCCTGATCGTGCTTCACGTCCGAATGCCGGCTTTAACTGCTACTCAGGTGCCCGGCGTGGTGGTCCAGGGATTGCGCGGAGGAGGCTGGGGAACGACACAAGCCGACGACGGAATAAGCTTGTGCGAGCAGGTTCATCGTCGCGAGCTGGCCCTGTTACAGCATGTGGGAGAAGGCCAGTTCGGTAATGAATTTAATACGTCATCCACCACATTGCCAGGAGACAAGATCTACCAACTCTACGAGACGGCCGGAACAAGTGCAGTTCTCAATCATGGATTTTTACGTTTCTGACCTGAGGTCCTGAACAACTATCCTACCACCTTCGGGGACCCATTCATCCATGGCATGGAACTCGTCATAGAGTTCCGGCTAAGGCCAGCAAGTCGGTAAACGTTTGCATTCAGTAACTTTCTTTCCTTTGCAGGCAGATGGAATACTGGGCCTCGGTCGTGGAGGTTACGGTGCTAGGGCCTTGGTCGTAGGACCTCCGGCTCGGTTTTTCGTCGTGCAAGTCTTCGTTCGCACAGGCAGGATCAGTGGCCCTGCAAGTCCGAAAGTTCAAAGAGAGTTGTGAAGAAGAAATCTCAACATCTTTAGGCCGTAGCTAGTGAAGAAACTCCAAGACTCTAGACCACAAACGGGAACCTGCGTGACTCAAAAACCCTTCCTGAATCCCAATAAACCTGGAACCCGCGTAGTAACCCTGAACCAGTGTGGTTGATCGCAGGCTTTTTCGCCAGCGACAGCGGGCTGGCCCTTCGTCTATGAGTTAGGGTTGAGTGGGGGGCTTTTCCAAGTCTTGAGACTCAGGCCGGGTTTTTACAGGCACATTGTTTTCATGTGACAGAGTCTCATCGGAGTCTTGAAGAGTTTTAGACTTTTCGAGGGTTATCCTGTCTTTTCCCCAGTTTGCCTACAGTATCTAGAGTAGGAGCTCCCTCCAAACCAAGGCTGTGGAGCCCAAGACCCCCGTGGCCCCTGCCCCCTAGAAGGCCTGAACTACGCCTTACCGTCAGAAAGGCATTAAGTTCGAACACCTCCCTGAAGCCCTGACCCCGGTAAGCCTCCAAGCGTTCAGGATCTTGCCGAGATGCTTCGGCCGATCGACCTGCCGGCTATGTGCGACGATGCCCCGGACAGAGCTGTCGATCAGATGAAGGCCAAGCTTTGAGGTTCTTTGAGGGTTCGGCAGGGGTTCTATGAAGATTTGTGTATCAAGGTTGTGCTGCGCTTTGGGCTCTGGTCTTGGCCTTACTGAGGGTCTCGGCTTCGGGGCATGAGCTTTAGAGCTTAGGATATGGGACCTCTGATACCCTGAACCCTAAACCCTAAACTTCCAGGCCACTGCCACGCAGAGGCCTTGGCCCCCTCCTCGAGCAACTCCTGTGGACAAAATGTGTGGGAGAGTTTCCGAAAATAGGGGATCCTAATATAGCACCCTGAATAGTAGGATCCTTATTTCAAGGATCCCTAAATAAGGTACCTTTATCTTCGGAAACTCCCATATGGAAGAAATGTGTCCGCAAGATGCAAAGAAAGGGTATTTCCACGTGTATGGTTCTACATACATGCAGGTAAGGCACGATGGTGGTTCCCTGAAGACCCCGGTGGATTCCAGCGGCTCAGCAGGAGCCCTAACCCTCGGGTTGAGCTTCGGGTGGCGAGAGGGCCTCTAGTTGACATCAAGGATATCCTCCTTTTAGAACACAGGGCTCGAGTAGTACACATGGGCTCCATAGTAGTTCCCTTTGGGGTTCGTATCTAGAATGCTATAAGGGTAATCCCAAAAAAGGAACTACTATGGAGCCTCTGGGTAAAGGACATGAAACGGGTCGGTGCCCGCTGCAGGCAGCACTGCGCCGAGCCGGTGTCGAGCGGCTCTGAGAGCCGGCTCGGTGGTCTAAGTCTGCTGGCGAGGAGCTTCATATGGGAGTTTTCGAAAATTAGGGTACCTTATTTTGGGGTCCTTATCATAAGGATCCGACTATCTAGGGTACTATGTTAGGGTCCCCTGTTTTCGGAAACTCCCGTATAGGGGCCTTAATAGTTACCTAATGTACTAGTTTGCGGGGTTCTTTGTTACATAGATTATAGTATAGTGGGTCCCAAAACCTTATTCTCATCAATTAGCCCCTCTATTAGATTTGGCATCTTGAAAGCCATAAACGTTGCAATCATCAACCCTGCTGCCGAAACTTTAGCCCTCAAGCCTAACCACCAGAGCGCCTCCCAAGTTCCACCTTCATGCTTGTAGGAGCGTAAACCGGTCCCTCAGAATGCCTGCCTGATCACAGCGAACCCCCACAAAAAAAGCGAGTCGGAAGTCGTTGAGCCTCGATACAACCATTATGAACCTCTAGCAAGCTTTAACTAGGTGGGATTTTGGGAAACTTGTTGACTTCCCTTTATGGTTCCGACAGAGGTACGTATTCATAAATACTTTTCAGAGCGAGAAAACTACAATCCAGTTAAGGTCTTTACAAGCCATAGGTTGCCTTAGCATGACATTCGGGACATCAGAGAAGGGCGTCCGTGAGCAAAGTCTGCGGGCCCGCGCCTTGAAGCAAAGACCCAGCGAAAAGAGTTTGCACAAACATTATGGCTCATGGTTTGCATGACTGTAAACACCGCCAAAGTGCTTGAGGTAGGCATAGTCGTTCAGAAAGTACATTACCTCGCCTGACTTGCTCGAGCGCGAGTGCTAAAAGCACCGAAAAACAGTGCTGATAAATGGTACGTCATTTACTTCTGTCTCAGCTGGACTTGTGTTATCACCACAAGTAGTACTGACAACACCATGATTGCTCTGAGTACTTGCCTAACGAGGGCGCTTGCACTAGACTATGTCCGCACTCCAGTTAGAACACCGCTTCCCAAAGAAACCCGGCCAGATTGCCGGTCGACTGAGATTCCTGCGAGGTGCCTGAAACCGTTAACCCTAAACCCTAAACCCAGTTGTTCAACCAAGATTCCCTGCAATGCGGGCTTCGTCCTTGCTAGGTAGGAGGGAAAAAAACTCTAAACCCCATGTCTTGTGAAAGCCTCATCCCAGCCCTAAGTCGTCAGACCGAGCCGTGTGCGTGCAGCTCACCAGAAGCCTCTTTCCACGGCCCGAAATCCGCAGTCCTCAGGATTTGTAGAGAGAGAGAGAGAGAGAGAGAGATAGAGATAGAATTGCCAATGCCATTTCGGGGTTCCTTATTGTAATTTTAGTATAATGGGCCTCAAAACCCTATTCTAATTATTAAGGCCCCTGTATTATAGAGCTCTACTCTGGATCCCTTATAGTTTGCGAATTTTCCTGAAAGCTGGTGCGTGCGAATCTTGAAAAACAGTAACAACAAAAAACCTGAGGCCAGACCGCTGCGGTTGCTGGACCAAAGAGGCTGAGCTCTGAGACATACAGGCCGTCGCACTTAAAGGGAAGGGGCCTGCGGCTTTGGCGGTTGGGTTCTCTTTCCCCGGCTTGGGGTTGTTTTCTGTGTTTCGAAGCACTTGTACCTTGTTCAGGCCTGGCAGCGCAGCATGTCCCGCAAAATGCACCGAAACTCCAGCTTGTAAACCCTATGAGGTGGGTCATGGTGGGTGGTTGCGCAATGACTCGTGCCAGAGGACACTCAACCTGGCGCTGCTTCTCGATGCCACCGCCCGTATCGCCATGCTGGCCTTGAGCTCGACCTCTAATCGCATGATGGCGTTGCCCTGTTAGGCTCGGCTTTAACGAGAAGTCGATGCCTTAACACAAGCACGGACATGCATTATTATCTGCTTAGCATGGTAAGAGCAACACTCAGTCAGTTGAACAGATCGCGGCAATTATTGGAACACTCACGATCTGCCGGGTTGCCAGAGCCTTCCTGTTCAGACATGTACTTCATGGCTCAAGCCCTTCAAGCACATTCAAAGTCCTATCTCTGAACCCGCGATTTATCTCAATGCTCGAAGGGTGCATTGAATCTCACAATGCATGTATTCAAAGCCCACATTACTTCCAAGCCCAAGCCCGGCGTGCTAGCTTACTGCTTACTTCAGTATCTTGGGTACCAAAACATGACCCATAGGTCGGCGCAAGCACTTTGGTTTCTGCTTACTAGCTGCCTGGTCAAGAAGAGGAGTTAGGAGCTAAAGCAGAAGTTGTTTCCAGCAGACAAACAGATGATCAATACCTACATTTGTGCAGAAAGAGGTGTATACGTAAAGGCCGCCTATCTAGTTGCGTGTATATATATATATATATATAGATAGACTGATGTATGTGTGTGAAGATTCACATGCGTGCATGTTTTGCATGTATGTGCATGTAGCTACATGTTTTTTTTTTTAACTGTGTCTGTTTGCCTGTTTGCTTGTTTGTTTGTTTGTTTGTCTTTCTCTCTCTCTCTCTATCTCTCTCTCTCTCTCTGTCTCTCTCTCTCTCTCTCTTGTGAAGGTGTCTGTTTGTGTGCTCGCGGGCCTTAATCGGCTTTCGGTTTCTATGTGTACAGTTACCTGTTCGTAAATACATACATCCATGCATCTATACTCTATACATGCGTGTGCGTGTGTGTGTGTGTGTGTGTGTGTGCGTGTATGTATGTATGTATGTATGTATGTATGTATATATACATATATGTATATACACATGTGTATAGACAGGTAGGTAGGTCGATAGATATACATAGATTTGCATGATTTGCCGAGGTAAGTTGCGAACCCTCGAACCCAAAAAGCTCGCCAGTCACTAGAACCTGGCCTGCTTTGAGGTGGCAGCCGCCAACAAGCCTTCTGCGCTCCTGGCCAGCGTTCTGGCTGGAGCCTCACGATAAAGTGAGCAGGAGCAACATGACTTCATACTGCGAGTCACAATCACGACAAGCACAAGCCGGCAAGACATAAAGAAAGAAGCTTGCAAGGTACGGCAGGGCAGCACTGCGACCACCCAAAGCAATCAAAACAGAGGCACAGAGAGAAGCATCGTAGTCGTAGCAGTGCTTTTCAGAAATGTAGTGTGCTCGTGTGTGAATCATGCACGGAGGATTTGTTGACTTCGTCGTGCATACGAGAGGCATGAATGTTCAGCACAGAGGCAAGTGCCCCTGAAGGCCACCAGAACAAGGACATGCACGAATACATGGTTTGACAAGTTTAGCCGTCAGCCGGCGGTATTCAATCCATGTGGCTTAAGCAACTAGTAGGAGTTGGGGGCCAAGGCCCGATGAGTCTACACAGCCTGTCGGAGCTTTTGTAACCTTTGTGCAGCGCTCCCTTAACCCTCTTACGCGGGAAAGCTCAACAACCAGGGCATTTCCTGGTGCAAAAGGGAGATACCTGCTTTGGTCGCCATCGACATCGTGATGATCATTGCTGTGGTGTTAACCATTTAATTACGAGCTCCACGGTCGTATATGTGCATTCAACATAATTGTACTGTCCGGCTACCATGATATCGGCAGTGGAGCTCTGAGCCCTACAATCCTTACTGGTATGTCGTAGATCCCTACACATCCCTAGACCTTCAACCCAAGAAGCAACTCTCGAAGCTCTAGACTCTAAATGCTGGAGCCCTGTACAAAATAAAGTTTAATGCCCTCAAGCCTCAAACCATACACGTCCTACCGACTGAGTGCAGCATGTCATTATGGAATGCCGCCTTCAATCGCCATCCATACTATGGTGTCGGTCTGCAGGACCATCTCCACAATGGTAGTGCATGTGGATGCTCTTGGAAAGCCCTCAAACCCCATAAACCCTCCATCCTGCACCCTGCACCCTAAGTGTTCGTGTTGGTTTTATAGGAATGAGCAGCGCATTTTTTGGTTCAGGAAGTGGTTGGATTGCATCCTCGCTGTTTGCAAGCAGGCTGTGCGCCGTAAACCTCATCTTGCACGTCTGCATATGAGAGTTTCCAAAAACTAGGGGTTTCTTTTGGGGGGTCCTTATAGTAAGGATCCTACTAAATAGGGTATTACATTGGGGTCCCCTATTTCGGAAACTCCCAATATGAGAATCTGAGTCTGAAGCACCTGAAACTCGAACTTTGAAGCTCCTGATCCCTAGGATAAAGCATAGCGAGAGCTGAGCCCTAGGTCTTCCCGGCTGTCGATGCGTTCTGTGCCATGGGAGGTGGCCGTTTATGCTTCAAAGTGGGAAACCGGGGCGACTGAACGTTTTGTCACGATGACTCTCTCAGCAAAAACAGGCTGTCGGAATCGGAAGCTCTCAAGTGCTCTCTGCAGTGCCGCAGCATTCACACATGCAGAGTTTGTCTCTCAACAACCGACTCTGAAAATCTATGATGTTCGGGATCGGACTTGCGTATTCAGGGAGGTTTTGCGCTTGAGTTTCCGGCCTCTGGTTGGGCTGTATAGAAGATGTTTCAACATTACAGGGTTTACGTTGAGTGGACAGCCTTGTGGGAAGGATTGGGGTTTGGTACTTTTGGGTTTAGGGGCTTGAGGTTGAGCTTCTAAGGCTACGTTTGGGCAAGGCTGCGCCCCAGAGAGAAGAAGAGAAGCCTCCTTCAAGTGCCGCGAGATTGATATGCAAGCTTCAAAGTTCAGTATATAGCTGTTTTCCTCAGGGATCCTTGGTACATCGATACTATACCAAAACCTAAACTCCCTAAGGCTTAGGGCCCATGGGTTTCCACTCAGCTGCAGGTTGGCTTGTGGGCAAGTACTACAAAGCCTGATTTCTCCCATCGGATCGGCTGCTTGTTATGTTGCCTAAGCCGGAAAAGCATGCAGTGCTCTTGGTTTGGGTTTTGGGTGAGAAAAACTAGGGCTCAGGAGATGAGTGCATTTTGGAGCTTCGGTCGTTTAGACCTCTTGTTGATGCCGTGCCTGGCTTTTTCTCATGAGACCTCGCATATCCTGGTAGGACTTGACAAGGGTATCTTCCCTCAAGGGTTGAACGGACCTTGCCCCTACTTACCCCCTCTCACCCACTGATTGAACCCTAAACCCGGGTCGTCCTTGTCACAGGTCCCTTAAGTCTAGGAAAGAGAGGCTGGGTAGGTACGATGCACACGCCTCGAAGAATTCCTGCTTAAGAGCTTCGGTGCGCAGCCCTGCCAGCCCTGTGTCCTTTAGCAGTGCGCGAAGTGTTCTTCCGCATGCAGCGTCATGCACTACAAATCGGCATCTACCTGTGTAGACATCCGCCAAGTTTTCTTCATGGGTTCTTACAACCACAATGCCCAGTTCCATTCGGATATAAGCGTTGATAATTAAGAGATGTCGTACGGTCGTACGGCTGAGCGATCGTGACTGACGAAACGTTGTGTGGATACATTTACTATCATTTACTGGACGAGGTACTAGGTCTTTTCTGCGGCGCTTGTAGGTCCGGCCGTGTGTTGTTTGTTTCGTAGCTCTCGCTTCTATATAGGGGCCTAGATCATTACCCATACTACTTTGGGGGCTCCTTGTTGTAACTACAGTATAAAAGGCCCCAAAACCCTATTCTAATAATTCAGGCCCCTATAAATATTATTAACGTAGATGGGTGAAGTTCACCAGCACAAAGTGCTATGCTGACGATCCCAGAGCTGGTGTTTGGAATCGTGGATGCTGTTCACATGTTGCTGTCGTTTCGGCTTGCGTGGGGCCTTTTGGAGAATGATCCCGGGATTTGCCGCAACCGAACCTGGCAAGAGTAAGATGATGGTGCTCTGACATGGGTTGCTGACATGCTGGGAAAGCCACGGCGGTGTATTTCTGCTCTTCGTCAGAGGTCAGCTGTTGCGCTTCCTTGTCCGGAAGTGCCGAGCGTGACCGTCGAAGCCCTATGACAATGACACCTAGAATAAACATCCAAAATCGAACCTAGTTTGCCCAGTTATGATGGCGATGCCTTCGCATTACTGTAGCTCCCTGGCCGTGTCATTCTCATGTGTCCCTGATGTTCAGAATCTTTATGTGCTTGCTGTGTGGCTCTTGGCAGGTCCGACTTGTCATGTCAGCACGAGACAATTGAAGCAAGCGCACAAAGCAAGTCTTGAGAGACAGAGAGCAATATCGCCAGAAAGTGCCCTGGCGCAAGCCAACAGTGCTGGACATGTGACAGCACGTATGAGGTGTGTATATATATATATATATATATGCATATGTATATATATGTATATATATATATATATATGTGTGTGTGTTCATAGCATGTGTATATGGATATATGTATACAAAAATACGCATAAAGATTCGAAAGATGGGTAGAAGGCGAAATAGACAGATAGATAGACAGATACTTAGTCGAATCTTTCGAAATCAGGATTGTTTGGCATACTTTACATATTGCGGCTCTGATTTGACCAACCTGGCAAGTGTAGTGGAAAGCTGGTTTTCACATTCGTGCACTAAACCAATATTACCAACCTTGGCAATTATTCCTTTGCGGCAAGCGTTGCCACGTCATGTAAGGTCTCTTCGCATGGTATACACGTCTGAAGCTGCACGAAACCATATGTGCATCAGCCGCTTTAGTGCCGCTTTATGAATAGTAGCTTCCTTACGTTTGCACGGATGCAGATCGGCACCGAAATGGCGGAGGCCTTAGTCGTCGTTGCTCTTGCAAAGATGAGTAATACATTCATATCAGAAATTCAAAAGAAATTCTTCATGAAGATTATCTTAAAATCCTGAAGAAAGGGCTTGCCTTCCGAATCCGTGTGTGCTGGTGCAGCGCAAGCTCCGCCCTGCAGAACTGCGAGCACTCTTTGCTAGATCACTTTACTGCCGTGACCATCTGTTAAAGCAGCGTGATCCTTGCAGAGATCCGCCTTCTGAGGCAGATCGCTCCCGCGCCGGCCAAGGCACTCGAGCTGTCGCGAGTTCCTATCGACATTCACTTCCACGGGTTTTGGAGAAAGGGTTTAGATGATGAAAGGGACTCGTGGCAGGGATCCTCGGGCTTTAGAGTTGAGGGTCCGCTTGGTGGCAGGAGCCCTGCACTGAATATACAGGGAGTCGCTCTTCGATGCGCCCCAAAAGAATTGGTGCAGAAACAGACAGCGAAAAGCCCCTGGATCTTCCTGGCGTTTTGACTCCGAGCTCGGCCCCAAGACCTCATCTGAACCCCAGAACGAAACACGAGCAGTCTTGAAAGCCCAAGCTTTAAGCCGACGCTTTGAAGGTCGCTCAGACTCGCAGCTGTCGTCCCAGCATGGGGAGAGGGTGTTGGACAGGATACGTGAGGTTCCTTTATTAAGACGCTAACATCCGCAGAGCGGACAAGAACAATCAGGGTTCGCAGTTTTTAAAGGGCTTCTTGGCTGATAAAAATGTCGCGGAATTCCAACGAAACTTCCAAGGCTAGACATGACCAGAACCGGAGTGGTAAGAGGGTAGAAGTAATTAGCAGGCAGGAGCAGTGGGGTGCTGGCATTCATCAAGTCCAGGTTCCAAAAGGGAGGAGCAGAGCATGAACCGTGATGTCAGCGATCAGTTGGTGAGATGGAGACTCTGCTCATATACGCGCCCGGCAAATCTTCGAAGGTTGCTCTCCTTGAACTCCCCTTCATCGTACATGTGGACACAAGCTTGCAAAGTAAGTCATTTCGCCGCTCAGACCTCGAAACCCTGGGTCTTAACGACCCCATCTTAGACCCTCGACTATTCGCACACGAGGAGGCCAAGGATGAAACTCACACCCTCAAGCTGTGAACCTGTATTCTTCGACTCAGTCGGCATTTGTGTGGAAGACGCATCCGAGGACGACGTTGTCTCTAGAGCCCATTACTCTAAGATGCACTTGCCGCCAATCCTAAAGTCTGGACCGTAAACCAGGCCCTACAGCCAAGAGCATCACTCTAGAGCTGCGGACGTAAGTGTAGCTGAGGCAAACCAAAGCCTGTATAGCCCCCAGACCCTGGACCCAACAAAAGCCCCACCCCACATGTTTACTACTCGCAGCCCAACAAGCGCAAAGCCTCCCAAAGCAAACTCGCAAAGCCGCCAAGACCCCCCTGCGTTCTGAGCAAGTGTCCTTTTGGAGCCGGAAGTTCGACCCGAAGCTCAAGCTCAAAGGTTTAGGGTTTAGGGATGCATAAAGTGGCAAAAAGGGATGCATTAAGGAGGAACCTCTGAACCTCCAGCAACCATAGAAGTTCTATGAAAGCCTGGTAGAGCTCCCTATGTAGGAGCCTTAATTAGAATAGGGGGCTTGAGGTATATGATACCATAATCATAATAAGGAACCCCCCAAAATGATATTGGCAATTATTTAGGCCCCTAGAGTATGTAACCCTTTTTGGAGCCTTCTTGAACCCTCCAGAACCCGTCGCAAGAAGCCCTTCGGGCATCATTAAACAAAGATTGAAGCCATGCAAAGGGCAGCGACCTTCCACTGCGGTCCCGTTGCGGATCCGGCACCCTGGATGCATTCTGCCTTTTATGTGTGGGCTTAGATAAACCGGGTTTAGGTTTGCAAGCTTATGTCGAAGAAGGCCCGTCATGGAAAGGGTTTGGGGTTTCTTACTCCCTTCTGTTGCTTGGGTCCCATGCGTAGTAATCGCATTCGCTGGCATTGTGGTTGTAGAATTTGTGTACTTGGCTGTTTTTGGTCGATTGCTGTTTGACCACGAGAAATGAGACTCTTGTCTTAATGTGCGGCCCATGCTTTGCTCCTTCGTCTTGTTTCGAGTATGACGGTATGACGATCGACAGCGCTTCTGGCTGCGGTGGGGGGATGCAGCAAAGACGGTCACAATGCAATAGATGTGCACGGTGCGGCCAGTTATCTTTGTGCTGATGCAGGCAATGATGTTGTGATGGAAGAGGAACTTTAGCAATCCATAGCAAGCTAAACTCAGTTTCGTTGCCGTTCCGCTGCATGACCTTGTGTGACAAGTTACAGTACCGTGCTTCTTGCAGTCCAAAGACGGTCATCAACTGTAGTCGCGGTTCAGCGCCGCTTTGTCGCTGCTGTTGTTGTTGTTGTTGCTGCTGCTGTTGCTGTCGTCGTTCCAGTTGTGGTGGGTCCACAGACCCTATGCCTAGGTTGCCTCGAAATGGTTCAGTCAGACATCCTGGGCCGTGATTTGTAAAACTCGCAAGACCAAACCAAGCTTCGAAGCACCCGAAACCCCGCCCGGAACCATACGCCTCGCCTGGATTGTCCGAGTGTAAGCGCCGAAACCCCAAACCCTTCACTCCGAGGCCCCCAACACCAGGCTCGGGGGGCCGTGCCAAAGCGGTATACTGGGCTTTCATGGCTGTCGTTCTCCCAGGTAGCATTAGGGAGACCCCTTAAATGGGGACCCTATTTAACCTTACTTCTGGCTCTCTTAAAAGGGATCTTATTGAGAGAGTTTATATCCCCAAAGGTCCCACTGTAGCTCCTATTATCTTGACACGTGTTCCAATTCCTGGTGTTGCTACCTGCTGCCGCTATTGGCAGTTGCTACTCTCATTGTTTGCAGTCTGTAGCTCTAAGATTCTCAGCGGAACGTAGTTGTCGAGTTCATGATTTAGTTGTTCGTGCTAGCTAGCAGGTGTTTCTTAGCCCGCAATGCGTTGACTACTGGTTCTGGTCACAATGGCTTTGGTGGTACCGTTACCACTGCTATGGCCATTCGGAGATGTCGTTCTGATTGGGATTCCCTGATTCCCTCATTGCTGTTAGCATCACTGTCGCGTTGGCGGCTGCAGGACTCTGGCAGCACGGGTGTTCCGATTCAAGTGACGTTAAGTTGCAAGCCTACGTGGATGACTGTTTAACTGAGTCGAAGGTGGGGATCTGAGCGCAACACCTGTCTTCATGGATGCTTCGGTGAGTTGGGGCACATGCTTTGTGTTTCTGCGCCAGCTTGGGTCGTTTCACTCGCCTCGCAGAATTACATGAATTATCTAAAGACCAGCATAGTGCGATAATTGTAGCACATCATGCAGTACAGTTTCGAGGTCATATATCTGCATAATGCCACGGTTTTGCATATACTGATGTCTGAACAGCTCGCAACTGATCCGTCCGTACCCATAACATAGGCGGAGAAGGACAGATTAGCTTAGCCTGTTCGTCGAGCACGACGAGGACAGGAAGATTTCTGGATATGTCGGCTGAGACATCCGGCACGGTACAAGGCACGGCTTTCAAGGTTTGGAAAAGGTAATTAGGGCGTAAAGTCTGGAACATGTTTCCGGCTTTGGATGGAGGGCAGAAGGTCTGCGGTCTGGCTGAAAGTGGATGGTGAGTTGGGACCTGTTTCGGCGGTGCGAGACCCCGCGCTGGATGTGTAGGCGTGTCAGGACACAGACGCGCAGACACACACACACACACACACACACACAAATACCCACGCAGGCCCACACACACAGACACCATACGACATCCTGAACCTTCTTCTCTACATTCATTTGGGTCATATTGGGCCTTGGTTTTGTGCCAGGCTCTGCGGCCTCGTCGCCAAAGGGGAAGAAGTCCTCGCGACGATCGGATCCCAGCCAAAGAATGAAGCAGCTTTGCCTGTCGGCTGCATGAGATACGTTCAGGGTTTAGGGCCAGTCTACGACTTGAGTCCAGTGGCAAAAATGGCAGCTTCGTGTGTTCTTGGTTCAAATAATTTTTGTACCCTTTTCAAAGACGCTGCCCAGCCTCGAAGCTCGTGGCAATAATTAAGTTGGGGACTTAGTGATCTCCAGTAAAGGAAGTAGCTACAAAAGCAAACTACTCCCAGTTCTGCAGTACATGCCACGAAGGTAGCTACGTGTTCGTAGTTATTCTTGTTGTTCCACCCGCGCGTGGTTGTTAAACTTGCAGTCCTTGGCGGAAACTCGCTCGATTCGGGATGAAGCAAGTGCTTATACACCTTGGCAGGGTCCCTCAGTGATGTCTTGGCGGAATGGTGCATCCGGTGCGGGTGCTTCTCACACCCCTGCTTGCTGTCATCAACGAATGCCGCCAGATCCCTAAAAATCAGCGAACCCGGAGCTCAGATGCTCACAAGATTCAAGGTGCAAGTTGAACGGGTTCTTTGTGGTTCGGCTCTTCGACTCTTCGGGGAAGATATTCGCAGAGGCCAGCACGGCGCCGTGGCAGCGGCTTCTCCTGCAGCCTTGAACCGTGTGGCTGTGCCGGGCCCAGGCAACTTGGCGTTAGGGTTTGGGAAAGGATGCGTCGAAGAAGTCGTTTGAATGTTAGTTATCATGTTTGGCATTTGGCACTCGGAGCATGACGTGAGGTCGTTCCTGATCCAATAGTTCGATCTCCTAGTGATCCTGTGGATGTCCGAGGATCATACACCACAACACCACGGACGGAAGAAATCACCAAGCCAGTCAACTGACGCTCGGCTTCGCACAGTGATGCTTGCCTCTGAAGCCAAATGCGCTGGAGAAGTGTCCGATATCGTCCATTTCTGTATGTGCATGCGTATGCTATTTGTGCGCACATATGTACGCATATAGCATAGATTTATACTATTACTATTCGTTCGTTCGTGTTTGTATTCACGGTGTATGTACCCATGTGCATATGTGTATATAGACATGCTTTCACACATCGGTGTGTGTGCGTGTGCGCGTGTGTGTATACATGGCAGACATAACGACCTGACACTGCATACCTATACAGTCATATACCTTTATGCGCGTGTATTAAAACTATGCATATACAGATGGTAGCCTCCTTACAGGTACCCAACGTTTTGTTTGCATTATCTTACGTAAGTAGCCCCGAAAGCGCATTCGACGAGCAGCAGAGGAAAGCATTCCAAACGGTGGGGCTGATGGTGTAGGGAAGAGCTAAAAACCCGTGATTAGCCTGTAAACCGCACGCCTTAAGGTGAAGCCTGAAGCTTACACCCTAATTGACCCCCAACCAGACATCCCGAAACCTGACGTATAGCAGCTATAGAACCGCAGCACCGCAGAGGCCGGGTACTGATGGGGCGGCGGCCACGCTTCCAGAAGGAGGGGGCACTGCCTCCTGGATGGAAGTAAATACCAGGACCCTCCTTGTACCCTCAAATAGGGGTATATGGCCCCAAATAATGGGCACTTAGGGTCTAATAGAGGGTAGATGGAGGGTCTAGGAAGGTCAGGTTGTTTGGAGGCGCAGAGTTAGGTGCTGGTGGAGTCCGGATGCAAGGTTGCAAGGAATCAGTTTCAACTGGATACAAAATCCCAAGCTGGAACAGACTAGGAAACCCTTGCAATGGCCATGGTAGCTTCAAGTATGTAATTAGCACATTCAGTAGTAGCAATGTAGTAGCACGCTTCCTGTTTGCCATGTGTATGACGTGGTCAATCGCAGCAAAAGAAGGTCCTAAACCCTTCTCCGAGTATGAGCGCTGAAAGCAAGCAAAAGGCCGCGGGAGTCTTGGTACCCCTTGAAACCTGAAGCTTCAAGTCCTGGCAGCACCCCGGAACACCTCAGCTCCCTCAAGCCGAAGATTCTGAGATCCGGTGTCTCCAAGATGCCAATGTCACGCTCCATTTCGAACAAATCCGCAGTGCAAAAAGTCTCCATCCCTCAGATCTCATGCCTGAATCACACATCTAAACACCCCAAGACCCCAGGCTTAGTAGGGAATGGGGGTATGGATCCCTATAGTACTATAGTAGCCTCCATGTATAGTCTTGATCGTGATACCCTGAGTGTACCCTGCATCGTAGGTTCGTCCTAGCCAGGCGGGAGGCAAACAAAAAAATAGTAGCCTTAATATATAATCCCCAATAATAGTCCCCAATCCTATAATCCGCTGAAGGCTAAGACCGCCAACTCCGCACACACCTGGCTCCAGAACCCAAAGCCCTCAAGCCCCTACACCGCAGCTTCTCGGCCCTCACCTGTCAGCCTTACATCATAAGCCCCAAGTCCCCTGAACCCCAAACTACTGAACGGAGGTTTTTTCCCTGTTTTTCCTCCAATGTTCCCATTGAAGGGAAATAGTCGGAAATAGAAGGTCAAGCGTCATTCCATTATTGGTTTGGTAATCCCCGGAAACTGTTAAAGAAACCCTAAACCCTGTAAACCCGCCGCAAACCCTACGCCTGCATTGTCCGAGTTACGAGCGCCGAAACCCTAGACTCCGTATGGTAACCCCTATACCCTTTTTGTAGCAATGAAGGATGCCCACAAATACAATCACCACACCAGGTTCAACGCTGGCATAGAGTCGAATTTTCCTGGCCCAGGGGCGCGTCCTGGCATCGCTTTAGATATTCCGTTATGGTTCCTGTTCCGCCTTCGGTTTCCATCAGGTTCGGGGTGCATGGCTTGGGGTTCCCATACAGGCATGTCTGAGCTGCGTCTCGTCACAGTGGGAAGTCTACTTCATTCGCGACTGGCTGCTGTTCACTATTCTTAATGCTCTCAGCGGCACAGTGCATGGGCAGAGTTGAAATCCAGCTGGAGCAGTGCGAACTTTTTTCCGTTTTGAATTTGAGATCTTGAGTAGTTTCTCCCTGCCGATTCTGTGAATGTGGCTGTCCTTTCTGGTTCTGATGCGTCACTTTTCAACAATCAGGGTCTGGCCCTACTATGAGCTTGCAATTTAGTAAGGGCACCACATGCTGCAAGAGCCGTTGCAATGCATCTCAAAGTCTCAAAACCCAATGTGGCCAATGTGAAACAAAAGCCAAGATCCTTTCCTTACTTCCAGAGCTACCGAGACCCGTTCTCAACAAAACTCAGTACCTGAAACTGGTCAGAAATCCACAAAGGTACGACGCAGACAAGATCATGAGCCTGGGAAGGTGCAAAGTCAGTTGCTCGGCAGACAAGACCGAGTGTGCCTGACAGCAAGGACAGTATTTTAAGTTTCAGTAAAGATAGGGACAGTGGAGGAATATTGGGATCAAGTTGTGCTCAGCTGCAAGCGCTTCCCTGCTGCTCATGACATCTCCTTTCGGCGAGGCTTACAAGAGCCAGCCGTCACTATCCCAACATCACAGCCCCGAATACGAAAATGCATGTATGTGTATAGATATGCTGTGCACATACACGTACTTGTTACATGTGCATAAATATCTATATACATATACACATAAACATATGTATATATGCGCATGTAAACCTGAGGTGTTTTGACACGAGCACGTGTCTGAATGCACATGTGTGTGCGTCTGTGTGTCCGTGCAACGACTAGACAGTCTTTAGCCCAGCTAGCTCCTGCACGCTCGTGTTCACGGTCTGTCCCAGGCAAGGAGAAGGATCCGCCAAGATGGACCATGGCGAAGAAGTCCATCATGGAGTTTGCAAAGACACACTGCTGAGGCTCGCAAGCTGGGAAGACCAGCACATCGGAACGGGAACATGGCCGAGCATCGCCAGCTAAATTTCATGCGTTTTATACCATTTATCAGGAGGGCGGCGTGATGCTTCATGACCACGTCTCATCCTGTAACTTTCTCCCAAACTAGGAGGAATATTCGATGTTCTATTGTGCTTCGAAACCTCTGCCTCATTGGAACTGTCAGGCTTCGGTATCCCGGTTCGTGAGGGAGCTTCTGCATAAGGAAAAATATATTGCAGAGTGGGCGACCATGGCCAACATCTTGACTGTATTGCCAGGGGCAGTTCGTATTCCTAGATACTGAATCAAGACCCTAGCAACAGAATCCGCAGTGGTCCACCTGCAGTTTCACCACTGAGCGGAACAGCCGCTTGCTAGACGGGAGGGCCGACAGCTTCCGGCGCAGCTAAAGTTGATAGGTTCTGAGGTTGAAGTGGCATACATCATGACGAACGACGCGTGCACAGAGTGTACCTGCAGCTTACTGCAGATCTACCTCTGCATGTACCTGCATATGGCCTTGTGTGTATGTGTACGTACATGTATGTGTGCGTATATGTAATTAAAGCTGGTGTAAGACGGTATCCAAGGCTACATGCTAGCAAACACTTGCAATGTAATGTGTTGAAGTCTGGCGATATTCAACAGAAACCTGTTGATGGAAGTGTCGGTTTATGTGAACAAGTACATCTGCAACATGACCCACTGCAGTAGAAGCCAGGGGCAGAGTCGAGGCAGTGGTGGCACCAGTAGGAGTAGTAGTAGTAGTAGTAGTAGTAGTAGTAGTAGTAGTAGTAGCAGTAGCAGTAGCAGTAGCAGTAGCAGTAGCAGTAGCAGTAGCGGTAGTAGTAGTCGTAGTAGTAGTAGTAGTCGTAGTAGTAGTAGTAGTAGTAGTAGTAGTAGTAGTAGTAGTAGTAGTAAGAGTAGTAGTAGTAGTAGTAGTAGTAGTAGTCGTCGTAGTAGTAGTAGTAGGAGTAGTTGCGGTAGCAATAGCAGCAGTAGTAGTAGTAGTAGTAGTAGTAGTCGTAGTAGTAGTAGTAGCAGTAGTAGTAGTAGTAGTAGTAGTAGTAGCCCACATGGCACGCCGATGACAGCCCCCGCAGTAGTAGTAGTAGTAGTAGCAGTAGTAGTAGCAGTAGTTGTTGTTGTTGTAGTAGTAGTAGCAGTACCAGTAGTAGTAGTGGTAGCAGTAGTAGTAGTTGTAGTAGTAGTAGTAGTAGCAGCAGGAGTAGTAGTAGTAGTAGTAGTAGTAGTAGTAGTAGTAGTAGTGGTAGTAGTAGTAGTCGTCGTCGTAGTAGTAGTAGTAGTAGGAGTAGTTGCGGTAGCAATAGCAGCAGTAGTAGTAGTAGTAGTAGTAGTAGTAGCAGTAGTCGTAGTAGTAGTAGTAGTAGTAGTAGCAGTACCAGTAGTAGTAGTGGTAGCAGTAGTAGTAGTTGTAGTAGGAGTAGTAGTAGTAGTAGTAGTAGCAGCAGGAGTAGTAGTAGTAGTAGTAGTAGTGGTAGTGGTAGTGGTAGTGGTAGTGGTAGTGGTAGTAGTAGTAGTAGTAGTAGTAGTAGTAGTAGTAGTAGTAGTAGTAGTAGTAGTAGTAGTGGTAGTTACGTACGGACGTACGTACGTAATAAGTAGTAAGTAGTAAAACATAGTAGTAGGAGTAGCCGTCGCCGTAGCAGTTGCAGCGGCAGTAGAGTAGCAGAGGTAGTAGTAGTTGTTGTTGTTGTTGTCATGGTGGTGTTGGTGTTACATATTGTTATGAGATGTACAGTATTGTTGATGGTCTGTTTTTTATGATGTAGGAGCATCGGCACTTCACTAGCACTGCCAATAGTAGCGGCGGTGCTAGTAGCAGTAGCGGTTTCGCCGTTGTTATTCCGACCGACGGGCTTTGTACCATATGCCCCTACACACAGCCGATAGCCACGCATGGTGTCGACCTAATGCTGCAAAATAGTACAGAACCATGGCACCCTAAACCGTAAACCCGAAACCTCATGTTCGAGCATTATCTTGCTGGTGCCTGGAAGCTGCAAGCTCCGGTGGAACGAGCGTGGCATCCAGAAGGATCCATGAGATGTAAAAGAAAGTTTGCAGCTTTGGGTTTAGGGTTTGGGGCATGAAGTGACATTCTACGATCTGCATGCAGGACAAAGCACTTGAGCCCCAATTTATGGGCTTATTATAAGCCCTACGTACCCTGAATTCTTACACCCTGGACTCAAAATCGGTATAAGTAGGTGTGGTTTCGTTTGGGTTCTGCGAGGTCGACTGGCCTTTTGGATCAATCAGGGCAGGCAAGAAGCTATTCTAAGTCGTGGGTCAGAATACTGTCACACCTTTCACAAATCTTTGCAACACCGTGGGGCTACAAAGGTCCAGGTGATTAGCAATGGCAGTAGGATCCCTGTTTGGTACCAGAAATACTATCCCCTCCGAGCCCCGTTCCAACCAGTAAGGCAGCAAATGTAAGGCCCTGTACATGAACACTTGCAAACCCACCGAACCCCATGCTAATGCTTAAACGCCCCCCTATCGCGGAGGGGGAAGTGGGCTTGCACTGATTTGCGGTGGAAAGAGGGGGCAATCCCCCCGGTAGCCCTTCGACAATCATTGTCATACGAAACGCCACAGGGCAAACTATAATCTAGAGTTATCATTGTACTACCATCTCCTTACCTCTACTAATCATAGCAGATTTTGTGTTTCGCCCAGTGCATTTTTGGGGTTTTAGGATTTGTAGGGTTTGGGGTCATGCGAGACACGGTTGAGAGTGTAATTCCTGTTCCGAAGGAAGCTTCAGATACCGCACCGTGTGGACGTTATCTAGAGACCTTAAAAACGTCCTACTTCTATCCACGCCAAACGTTCAGTTGCTAGGTTCTGCATGGAACCGATCACTGCCCCGATGCCCTGAACCTCAACTTCTTCACCCCGAAACTCCCGAAAGTGGAAAGCCTGCAGCCCTATCAACTCCAAACGAACCCTAAACCCTCAACCTCCAATCAAGCCTTCAGCCAGCAAAAAACACCAAAAGCAAGCCCGAGGCCCCAAGGCCCCAAGCAAGGCCACCTTGCCAGGTCGGCCTTCTCAGCGCCAGGACCCAGCACGTCCTTCGGCACGGCGCTGCAGGCCGCACTGAAGTGGAACCTTAAGTCTAAACCCTGGCGATCTCTTGAAAGGGAGGCGCCGAACTCTAAATCTCCCATAGTTCCTCAATCACATGACAAGAACTATGTTTAAAATCTTGGGTCCAGAACGATAAGCTCTGGAAGTGAGCCTTAACCCATATAGATGCCTTAGTTTGGGCTTCTAGGGAGCAGGGTCAGTAGTTTGTGTTGTGCTTGGTTACATGTATTTTCTCATGGGTATTCCGAAATTGAGCCTTATCAGGTAAAATCACGTCCGCCTGTAGATGTAACATGTCCGGTTTCTTGGGGCGTGCGCGTTCCACCGCATCTCGGGGGATGGCGGGGGATAGGTGGACACAGAGAGAGAGAGAGAGAGAGAGAGAGAATTACATATACATATCTCATGTATGTATGTAAGGTGTACAAGATAATATGTATGTATGCATGCATGCATGCGTGTCTGTGTATATATATGTATATATATATATATGTATATACATATATATACGTATGTATATATCATATTACGTTGCATATGTTGAACCCGGCGCCGGGAAGCAAAGAGTTTGCCGAGGACCTGGTGTTGTCTTTGGGTATGGTTCAAAACGCGGTCGGACTGGGTGTAGCGTGGATGCTTCAATGATCGCTTCGTGCAGAACTATTTTTGTTTACGGGCTATGACACCCAACGAGAGTAACAACGAACAACCAGCGATACGCCATGCACCGTTGTTTCGTAGCTACTTTTGTATAGGACGCATTCGAGAAACATGGTTGTAGAGGTTAGTCACTGGAAGATGCTTGAAGTGTGCAGAGCGAATTGCATGTTGGTTTATGGATGGGGCCTGAAACCGAAATCCTGCAGGCTCGAAATGCACGAGTGGGCATACAACAGCTGCATTTTTTGCAGTCCGACCATGCTACACTCCTCAAACCATAACCTACAAGCGTCAAGCATGTGTCATGATCGATCTTGAAGTCCTTCGAGTAGAAGCCGGAAAGTTGGAACATCATTAGCCGCATGCCCTTAAAGTAAAGTATAGGGGAATCCCAGCATGAATCATCCTAAATCTATGTTCCAACTTTCTGGGGATCACCATAAAATCTAAGGGCCTCACAGCAGACCGCAGTGAAATGTGCAAAAATCTTGCGGAGTTTAGGGTTTCAAGCTGAGACTTACAGTCTTTAGGAGCCAGGACCTTGGAGAGCCTGTGATTCAATTTTCGGACTGAAGTTCTTTGACAAGTTTGGCTTTGGGGTTTAGGGTTTAGGGGTTTAGGGGTTAGGGTTTAGGGGTTTAGGGTTTAGGGTTTAGGGTTTGAAGCGCCAGCAATCAGCCTGATCAACCCCTGCTTTCAGTCGATCAAACCCCAAACCTTGAACCCTGAAGTTCCTCCGGCTGGAATTTCTTAACCCTAAGAACTCCAAACCCTAACCTTAAGAAGCTGATAACCGTATATCCTAGTCTGAAAGTCCTAAATGCAAGCTTTAGTGGGGCAGTCGGAAGGCGTCCGATCCCCTGCGCGCAGCGTCGCTGGGCCCTCAGCTCCGGCGTGATCAGGGCTGGGGATCTTAGACGAGAGTTCAGGATTTAGGGGTTGAGGGTATTTCAGGGTTCGGGGAAAGGGTTTAGGAGTTGGGGTGTCCACGGTTTTGGGGGTCTGGAGTTTCCTTAGGTTGCCGTCTTGATATGGAAGCTTCTTCCTCCTGACGCCCCATTCATGTGCAGTTTCTGCATCATGCGTCCCACCCCACTTTTTCAGACGCTGTACAAAGTCGCGGCACATGCAACATATTCGGCTTTCTGCGACGGGGACGAGGGAGGGGAGGAAGGCACGGAACCGAGAGCAACATGGTTAGGAGTTGATGTCGAAGCATCAGCCATACGGCGGCAGCGGGGAGGGGTAGGCAAGGCTAATTCCATGCATGCCCAGGATCAGTGATTCATACTCTTAGCGTCGCAACCCCCTCCCTCGATGTAGCACTGCATCTATTCGGGAGCCCAAGTGCAAGATTTCCGTGGGCGAAAGCCGCATCTTCCCCTCCTGACAGAATCGTCTTTCTTCGCTAGTAAAGATCATCCTCTTCGCGGACATCCCATGGCACGATACAGTATCGGGCATGCAGCTGTTCAGTCAGACGGACTTGGCACTTGCGGGGTGAAAGTCCGGCCTTCCTTAAGCCTCCAGCCCGTGCTGCCGTTACAGCTCCCTGTTTAACAAAGTATCGCCCTGCCATGCTTTTCCAACATTGTCCACAGACAAACTGGAGCAGGTGATCTGCCCACAGTTTCGGCCTTCCTCTGCTTTGGCTAGAGTGGTAGTGCTACGCTGCTACGTCATTCTATGTTCTTGCTTGGTCCTCATCATTACTGCGACTACTAGTCACTTACATACAAACTAATCGCTTGCAAGTGTAGATATATGTAGTTTAAGAGGTCATAAGATACCGCGCATGTGCGATTGCCACGACCCTAGGCTTCAGGCCCCTAGGGCTCAAACGAACATGGGGCAAGACGAGCTCCCAGAGTTTAGAATGTCCATGAACCCCGAAGCCAGAGATGCCCCCACAGAAGCCTCAGGCTTCAAGGGCTCTGGTGCAAAATCCAAGCTGTCCTTCTGTGCTCGTTGTTATGGGAACCTCACAAACTACGGACCAGTCGCTTTTAAAGGCGAAACATCTTCGAGCGCACGCCGCAGGCCGTGAAGCGCAGAGCTGTCTCGCCTTTGGCGTTTATGGGTTGAAGGTTTGTGGATCAAGTTCGTGATTTATGTTCGGCCTGAGCTGCAGATGACTCCAGGATTTCCTGGCACTCGCCGTCTTCGCGCTGTCTAAACCCTCAAGGATGCTGACGGCGACACAAACGGTGATGACGAGCGTGATGGAGACGACGACGATGTTTATACCACGGCGATGGTGATATCCACAGTCAGGAGGGCATTAGCTGGCACATTATCCCGACCTCGGTTCAGATATTCTTCTCGGTCCTTGCGCTACTAGATCTGAGCCAAGATGTGTCATGCGTGCAGGATTTCTCAGCTTAGATCCCCAATACCTAACCTTTAGACTTTTTGGACTCTTAGAGTTTAGTAGGAGTCGGAAAGGTTAAAGTTTCGTTTCCGTGGCTTATTGGGGTGGTAAGTCAGTGCAACAAGCACATGGGAGTTTCCGAAAATTAGGGGTCCTTATTTAGGGGTCCTTATAATAAGGATCCTACTATTTAGGGTACTATATTAGGGTCCCCTACTTTCGGAAACTCCCACATCGTAGGATCATGAGCCTGAGGGATCCTCACGGCCTCTCGCTTCGGGGGCGGCGGTGTGGGGTTTGGGGTGTAGGACAGTTTCTAGGGCCTCGTTGGGTGTATATACTATAGGGCCTAAATAATTACCTATACTATTTTGGGGTTCCGCCCCCAAACCCGATTCTAATTAGTAAGGCCTTAAAAAGGATTCGTCAAAGGGACCCCCATTCTAAGTACTGAGGCCCCTATATTCCAGTACCCTTATAGATCCCGTATAGTAGCCCTTATAGACCCCTTTATAAGGAACCCTTACGACAAGAAAAGCAGTGGCACCAGGTGGAGGCCAGGCGGGTCTTCGGCTCGTGGCCGGCTCAGGGAAGATTTGGAGGAAGTTGCGCACAATATAGGGGCTTAACTCATTACCTAGATTATTCTTCCTTGGGGTTCCTTGCTATTAATAACTATACTATAACGGAGCCCAAAACACTACTCCAATTGTTAAGGCCCCTATAGTACTCTCTCGATTGAGGTGGGGGCTGGGGGTGATGATACGGAATGAGCCCACGACAGCCTCTAGTAAAATGAACATGAACCACATAAACAAAAAATTGCTTTTGCGATGGGATTTGGGATTTGAGAGGAGGTTAATTGTGTCTTTAGAGGCAACTAATGCGGGTTGTCTTCGTTTTGACTACTGAACTGAGTTTTAAGTATGAGTACTGTATAACGTACTCGGCTTTCCGTACTGCAGCTACTTCAATTGCATTGCTTTGCAAGGGCCCGGCTGAAGCCCCGCACTGAACCGAGATCTTTTGTTTGTCTTTCTCAAGAAGGATCCTGTTGTTGAGGATCCCTTAATTTTGTTGCGGACAGGACCCCTAACAGATTTGAAGCCCAAAACCACAAGGCCCAATACCCTGCTCCAAGCACCCTAGCATAGGGGTCTGAATAACAAGTGCTGGTTTCCCCCGCAGTCACGACCCTCCCGAGTCTACTTCACTCTCGCTGCTAAGGGCCATGGAAAGGTTCAGTCAAGCCGAGGTATGCGCTGCCAATTGCTGCGCCGGATATGGTCGGCGACAGGCATCAGGATTTTGGGCTTGCTGGCTCCGGTTTAAGCGAAGAGACTAGCAACTAGCAATATTTGAGTTGGCTTGCTACATGAGACTCTCCGAAGCCTCAGTGTGCCTAGCCCGGGCATGAGATGTTCGCACGCTTGGGTTTATGCAACAGATCACTCATAGCAACGCTAAAGAGCAGTGGCCATCAAGAGTGCCGTCCTAAAGGCTTACAGCATCAATGCACAGCTCTCAGCTCATTGTGGCTACCGCTTGGGATCTTTCAATTGTGTTATATTGCGTTGTTTTGCGGCGTCACACTTCACCAGGGAAGAAGTCCAGCGAAAGAGCTTCGACGTGGCTGCACTGACGGCCTGGCGGGTGCCATCGCCAGGGTCTTGTCCCAATCGAGTTCACAGGGTTCCGTCTGCGTGATGCATTGTATAAAAGCCGATGACGCTCGAAGGCGGTTACTTGCCAACTACGTAAGCAACGTCATTGCTCAATCATCGGGTCCCGGTTCATTCACAGGCACGAGAGCACAGGACCTGCAACTTGAAGCCGAGAACTAGTCCGTGACGCGCAGAAGCCTTGATAATGGCCAACTGCGGCATAGACCCCGAGGTCTCAGCAGGGGGACGCCACTCCTGCCGTAGGCTCGATGCCTAAGGAGCGTACCTGTAAGGATGGTCAGGGCCATAGCGATTACTAGGTACAGTGTAGGGGCCTTAATAGTTACCCATACTATTTTGGGGGGTTCCTTATACTATTTTTGGGGGTTTCTTCTTATGATTATAGTATAATTGGCCCCAGAAACCCTATTCAAATTGACTACTAAGGCCCCAAAAATATTAGTGTAGGTGGTTGGTGTTAGCGTGTTGTGTGTGTTTCTGTTTTTGTAGGTGTGGGCGTCAGGATGTGGATGTCGCATGGCATTGTAAAAGAATCATGTCTCGGTTCTCGAGCCTACAGCTTTGGACATCATTTTGGTTTCTGTTGCGTGTCAGGCTCCAGGTTTGGGGGTTTGGCAAAACAAGCCCTAAAAAATACAGCAGCCTGTCGGCGCTCCCATCGCCAAGCCCGAAGTGTGAGACAGAGAAGTTATGAGTCGTAAGACGACCGTTCTTCGAATGCTTAATGCTGCAGGCCTTCGGAGTCACACGTGGGTCGTTGACGACAGTGACACGCCTTAGTCCCCCGGTTTGTGTGGCGCGGATCCTGCTTAATGCGAGTTTGGGGAGCTGTGGTAGGGTTACTACTATTCCTTTTCTCATTACAAGCAGTAGCAGTAGTGGTAGTAGTGGTAGTAGTAGTAGTAGTAGTAGTAGCAGCAGCAGTAGTAGTAGGAGTAGGAGTAGGAGTAGGAGTAGGAGTAGGAGTAGGAGTAGGAGTAGGAGTAGGAGTAGGAGTAGGAGTAGGAGTAGGAGTAGTAGTAGTAGTAGCAGCAGCAGTAGTAGTAGTAGTATACAGTAGTGTCATTGTTGTTTTTTTTCTGCTATTCCCCCGAAGGCAGCGAGCAAGACTTCTGGGGGAGCCTCCATACCTGGCAGCTCGGCTGCTCTGGGGATGCTCTACCGGCTGAACAGTCAGTGCCGCCTTTTGGTGCAGTCTTGAGAGAAGAAAATTTCCCATGCAGAGGAGCATGAACAGAGAAGTTTCCGGCATGGATTTTCGATGACATGGGCTTGCTCGAGTTCATGCAGGACTCGCTTTCCGTCGTATTGCTGTGATCTCCTTGAATCCTCTTGGTGTCAATGGCCTTGGCTATTGACGGGTTTGCTGCTTGGCCCAAGCCTCAAACCCCCCACAAGCCTTCAGCCCCAATCAAGGCATGTTCCTGGAGCACCGGAGCCCGAAATGTAAACTAGACATGTTGCGTTTCGGGAAACGGAGACGGCAGTTTGTGGGCTTTTGTACAGAGCTGATTGGATCCCCAGGAAATCGCAGACAAGGAAATTGTGACATATCATAACAAGCTACTGCTGCGCAGACTGAGTTGGAAGGTCACTCCCACGGTGTGTGTGTGTGTGCGTTTCTAAAGTGAGTTCCGGTGTGAATTCCGACCGTTGAGGATGCCGTGGTGTGGGGCTTGTTGATGTCAGCGGAAGTTCCGGTATTGCTTTCGGCCGCCCCGGCTGCCATTTCCTTGAATCTGTGAACTCCGGAGTGAATTCCAGGACGTACCCTCGGAATTCCTCGGAAGGAACTCCGCGGAACTGACTCCGGAATCCAGGCTAAAATGCACAAGCAGCACGCTGCCCGGGGAATTCACAATAGAAACAGACACACGCCGCAGGAATGAGCTCTCCAACTCACTCTGGAAACCTGCCCGAAATTTAAAGAGCACGGAGAGGGGATTTCCACTATGGCTCCATTTGTTGTCTAACCCTATAACCAAGTCCATACCAAGTCCCCAGACTCGAGGCTGTTGAGTTATCGAGCAAACCTGCTATTCTCAAGCAGAGCTTGTGCCTGGATCCATCGAAGATGATCAGGCTTAAAGCCTGGTTCGTGACTTTAGGGCTTAGACTTGGGTTTAGGTTTAGGTTGCACGGTTCAGGTTTGTTTAAGAAAGTTGGAGTCCCTCAGCATTGAAACTTGAAACGTGACTGGGGCTACTGAGACCGGGTGTCGAGTGGTACCGATTCTGTCGCCTTCTAGTGCTGACATGTGACGAAGTGTAGTGGCGAGGTAGCTCCGGCGCACTCTGACAGCATGGTTATTTTCTTCATGTGAGCTGCAGTGAAAGTTTGAGTGCAACAGAACACAGATGCTGTTGGAGGAGCAGCTACAAACCCCCAGCGGGAGACCGCTTTCGGAATGCTTGTCAGACGGAAAAGGGGCGTCTAAAAAAAAAACTTGAAATGTTACCGCAGATTACGAATCGTGGCGATGCAGATGGCGACACTGTACTCCGCGGTCTCTTAGGTAATCCTGTATACCAAAGGGGCTTTTGCTTCATGGAACAGTTGGGAGTAAATAGGAAGTTTTGATGCTGTTATAGCCCCAGTTTAACTGTGTTCACCTGTCTGGCATGTTTGGGCTCGGATCGTCCCCGTATATAGCCTGAGCCCCGATCCCCTGATCCAAAACTCCTTATAGAATCCAAAACCCATCTAGACCCTAATCCTAAGGCGCCGGACCTGGCTTGGTCGGGGTTTCGAGATCGCATTGGTCCTTGTTTGGCACTCAGCAGCTTGAGAAGTCAGAGCCGAATATTCACTCACTTGCCCCTTGCCACCTCACCTGCTCGTAGCTAAACGACCATCAGGGTGTGAGTGTTTTGGGTTGCAAGGCCCAGCAACTAGCGGCCAAATCAAACATGCACTTTATGATCTACCCATAGGCTCCATAGTAGTTCCTTTTTTGGCGTTCATATTTGGAATCCTATAAGGTAATCCCAAAAAGGAACTACTATGGAGCCTCTGGGTAGAGACTGCAGCTCCGATCTACATCCTGGGGAGGATCCTAAATTTCGAAACGTAGGCCCCAAGCTTCCGGAGATTTACGGATCGAACTTCAAGAAAAGCTTCAATTACTAATACTATGCTTTGAGTTTCTCACAGTTGGGTGAGGTTCTTCTTGAGGACGAACCCGGTGCCTTGAGGTCTTCATTGCCGTGGAGCTGGCATCTCAGAGTTTTGCTCAGCCGTGGATAGAAACCTGTTTACTATCCCTTCTTTAGTACCCCCTGTGATTGAACATCGTGTGTTAAGATGGTGTCTAAATTTAGGAAGATACTGACAAAAGCTCCGCACCAGCAGGGTTGAATTACATGTTCCCTACGCATTTGCGCGCAAGAGCTGTCACAACATGCAGCCCGAGCTTAAAAACTCTCAAGCTTGCTGACGGCCATGCAATTATTTTGGGTGATGTCCTTACATTGTTTCTCTTCGCCCGGTACTCGTGGCTGCTCTGCCCCCTTGTGGCATGTTGAAGGCAAGCCTAAGGTTGCCACCTACGCCGCAAAGGTAGCTTCAAGCAGAATCTAGACACTCCGCACCCGCAACCTAAACCATAGCCCCATGTATCGCAACCTCCAAGCTCGCAGCTCCATTTTCCCCACAGCCCAGGGCTTCCAAGATCCTCCTGAGTGTGAGGGCGCTGGACGGTGCCAGCCTGCTGGTGGGATCCCCAGGGTGCCTTTTGAGATTCGGGTTAACACGCAACGGGCCTGCAAGAAGCCTCCTGAGCCGAGGATGGGCAAGTGCTGGTGGTCTTCCAAGGAGCCGCCCGCTCCCCAGCCCATCCGTGTTTCAAGCCGTCGGAGCCTAAGATGTAGTAGGGTTGAGGGTCGAGGTAAGATTTAGGGGCAGGCGTAAGGCACAGAGACTTGCAAAGTAGCTTACTTAGACTGCCCCCGATCAACATACAAATCTAGGGCAGTCATGTCTCCGATTGTTTAGAAGCACTAAACACCGTCGTGCTGGACAGATGGAGACAAACGGCGACACACCCCCGGCTTTCGGACGCATCCACATTGCGAGCCTTGGACACTAACTTCAGAAAGAGGATCCTCCAGAGAATCCCTTGCTCTTCCCAAAAGACCCTAAAGCCTTGTAGCATCGTAGCACCCCAAACCGTCACAAAGACCATGAACATGACACCGTAAAAGCCCTGAACCTAAAATTGAATCCGAGTACTGAAGCCCCAAATCTGGCTCGTGATCCGCCGAGGTCTCTTTGATCAGCGGCGTGGCGTTTTCCTTCCTCTTCGAGGCCGGGAGCGCCTTGATCGAGGGTCCCCTGTTACAGCAGTGTTTGATTGGGGTTGACGATGGCAATGTGTCTATGTAATTCGCAGAATTTTAGATGTCCTTGATCGAAGTGTCCCCGGTTGGGATCCTTGCTGTTGTTCTTCATGAAGGGGTTTCCGAAGTTGCCAGGCTTGCAAAAGGGAACGGCTTCGTGCTTGTAGCACAGTTGCTGCCAAAAGCTTGCAACATGAGTGACCCCACGCCTCAAAGGCAAGCTGAACGAGGATCCGGGGTCCCTTGCTACTGATTCTAAGTCCATCTTCCACTTTGTAGGAGTTCACCATAGGTGGCCAGCTTACCTTTGGTTAGTAGGGAATAGAGGAATGGGGTACGATTATAACTACTATTACTACCATCCTCCCATTCCCTACTAACCAAAGGTAAACCCTAAACCCCTAGACCCTATAGATCCCTTAAAGAATCCCTTTAAAGGAACCTATTACTACCATTCTGACGACCTGCAGATCATGGTCAGGAAGACTAGGCGTAGTCATGCAGAGAAGTCCGCCTCTGAAACTCCCTGGAGACCAGAAGCCGGATCAGGGTTTCCTTTTAAAGGCTTACTAAAAGAGTTACTATAAGGGTGATACTATAAGGGTTACTATAAGAGCTACTATAACGGTTACTATAAGGGTGATACTACAGGGGTTTAGGGTTTTTTGGATTTATTTGCAGAGCTTCAACGTCAGGGCATGACCGGCGTGAAGGAGGCGTTCTCGCCCCGAAACACCCTCAGCGACTCGGTCTTCAAGGGTTCAGGGTTGGGGACTCGGCCGTTTACTTTTGGGACCGGCAGTAGCTTTGGAAGGGCTACGGCATTTGCACCATGTTCTTCTTGCTGGAGCTTTCTAGAAGTTGAAGCCGAACCTGGACATCCCACAAGGACTCAAACTTGAAACCTTGCAGACCTGTAAAACTTCACTCCTGAAAAGCGCTAAATGCTTTCAAAGCCGAAGCCTTACGACCATGAAAGCCTCTCCCTTAAAACCCTGAACGCCGAACCCCTAGCTGCCCTAGCTACTCCGAACACTCTAACCCTGAAGCTCCGAATCAACGGCCCAGGTTGCATGCCAGCCTGGGTTCTCAGCTTCCTACATTACTTTGGTCTCTTGCTGCGCTCGGAGGGATCGGGGGTGCAGGCTTTGGGGTCTTGGGTTTGGTGGTTTCGGATTTGAGGGTTCGGGGGCCAGCTTTAGGGATTTAGGCTTTATGGCTGAGGAGGTAGAGGTGCATGGAGTGTTGGCCCGTAGGGCTTCTATGGCGAGAATCATTGGCACTTGACTCAAAGACCAGGTGTGTGTGTGTGTGTGTTATATATATATATATATAGTCAGGTAGAGGTTCCAACCACGCGCCGCGCTGACCATGGCTAGCGTACAAGGGTTTGGTGCACGAAAGTGCCATAGTCATAGCTAGCTTTCTGCCTCGGGCGCTCTGGCCGAACTTCTCGACAGTCGTTGTTTTCATGCTAATGGCGGAGGGCAGCTGCACATCAGATGGAAAGCGTGCCTGGACCGAGGTTGCCTTAGGCTTCTCCCTGAGTGCGCGGCCGAGTCTGTTCCGAGGGCTGGGTTTTGCTGCCTGCTTCTGAAACTAGTTCCACGATGCCTACAAAAAACGAAAGCCCGGTAATTAATGAAAACACTAGCTAAGACAAGACTAACTCCGCGTATGTAGTCAAACATATATATATCCTCATACAGCGAGAACACAAAGACTGGTGCAAGCTCTATGTTGAATGCAGATTCCCTCAACTTACAACCTGAACATGGCGGATCAGGCGGTTTCAACGCTTCTTATGACTGTCTGTGTTCGCATCTTCATCTCTCTGCATTTCTGTTGCAAGATGCCCCGGAACCCGAGACCCTTGGAGCACATATCCTGAAGACCAGCACAGAGCGCGGCAGCCTCCATTCAGCCGCGCATTGTTTGCCAGACAAAATGCAGATGGCATCGATCTTCGGCCAGCAACGGCAGTGAACCACCAGTGCTTTTGAGCTGCAGAGGCTGAGCACGCAAGTGTTAAGTTTTCGAATTACCTGACTGAGGCGCTACTTGGTTGCCTAACTCGTTCTGCTTGCATTTGATCTTCCTGGCGCTTCCTGCAGTAGCTGCAGCGACCATGCTTTGGCATCAATATCCCCCAACCCAAAACCCCAAGCCCGAATCAATCCAGAGCGTCAGGTCAGAGCGCCCTGGCCTTCGCCATTGTGCAGGGGCTCGGTGCTGCCGCGGGCACAGAGTCAGCAAGGAAATTATCTGCAGCTGTAACAGCAACCAATGCAGGCTGCTAGCCCTGTTTGCGACAGTCCTCAGCTGCACAGATTTACTGGCTGTGCACAATAGAGGCCGTACATTATGTTCGAAGAGCATTGAGTATTGCGGCGCCAGAGGCTGTCATAGGATTGGAACTTCTCCAGCTCTGTGACACGCTGTGAGCCCTCAAATTCTGTAAGGCTGAATGCTTTGTCCAGAAAGATCTTTCAAGTCTGTCATCCTGTAGCTTCATGAAGTCCGTGAGGACGAACGAGCATTTTCTTGGGCTGCCACCCACCTCAAAACCTTCAAACGCCTTAAGAACTAGTAATAGCATCCCCTTGATTAGTGAGTCCCTAGGTCGCTCCACTACAACGTGCCCCGAAGTCCTTTTCTAACTAGGGAGGCCCCTGTATTTAACTTAGCCCCCCATAGTCTCTGCACAGCAGCCTCTGCGCATTGCGTGTGGATTCCCGTCCAGGCTTCCAGTAGTTCTTGGTACTTCTTTAGTGTTCTTAGGGTTTTAGTTTTATTGTAATAAACGCAATAAAACTCCAAAGGGCTATTTGTGGACTATTATCTTATTGTTGGTATTAAAGCTCCAAGGCCGCAAACAACTCGGGAACCCCATATCCCTGAATTAAGGAATATAACTTAGATCATATCGGGGATCCTCCTACCAATGCCAAGGCCGTGATTATGGTCACAGGCAGGCGGCTTAGTGGCTTCCGCCTTTGTTTGGGCAAACGGCTCCCGAAAACGTGAGCCAACACAAACCCTAACAGCATGAGAGTCGACTCTAGCCCTGTTTCTGGGAGGCTCATGGGTACTTGTTGGTGTGCAAGTTAGCAACTATTCTGTTCTGCGCTTACGTCTAACCATGTAGCTGCAGTCTTCAGGAAGCCTGCGCCTACCTAGCATGAACCTTGGTCGTGGACCTGAGCCTTTGCTATCGCTGGTCTCGACAAATACTTTTGCAAGATTGCAACTTAGCTCGTTATGTGGGAGTTTCCGAAAATTAGGGGTACCGGGGTACCTTATTTTGGGGTCCTTGCAATAAGGATCCTACTGTTTAGAGCACGATATTAGGTTCCCCTTGTTTTCGGAAACTCCCATGTAGCCAAAGTACCACATGGCCCGCCAAAGGCGAAGCCATGGTCTACTCATTGATGCCGTTTAGGGTTTAGGGGAACCGATGTGGGGATTACCGGGCGGTGGTAAAGGCCCGATGCAAAAAAGGGGAACCGATGTCTCGAAATTAGACCAAGGCTTTCTCTACATGCCCCTCTGCGCTCTCCTGAGCGCACTGATGTTCCAACGGCGCTATGGTTGGCTGGAGGCCCTCCCCCCCCCCCGACGTGCCCATGTGACCTTGCTGCAAGCGGCGACTGTGGGCCTGCCATCTGCCGTGTAGGTAGCTTTAGTTGCGCGTGCGAGAGCCCGGTTCAATGATCGCACTGAAAATGTTTAAAGTTTGTCTCTATGTACATACATATATATATATATGAGTTAGATGCAGATACAAGTACTGTATGTATATGTTTGTGTTTGTGGAGAAGTGTTTCCAGACCGGGCTCTGAAGGCAAGAGTCCCCCTACCTTCCAGTCCGCTAGGCCTCCTAAGACTTGCGTTGCCTGCATGTTTTCGGCTGGCTTTGTGAACTTACCCATTCAAAGGACCTAAGGAGTGGCTTGCAGTGGCAAGGCCCTGAAACTTCGCAGGTTCACGGCCTCGCTTTCCTCACCCTGAGCATCATGATCTTCGCTGAGTTAGGTACTCGCTGGGGGCCTCAGAAGCTGAGGTCTTGAGGAAAGCCCATGAAGCCTCAGAAAAGAACGGCAAAAAAAGCAACGCCCAAGCTATACCCTAGCCTCACCTAAAATCTACACCTCAAACCAAGACCCAAAAGTTCAAGAATGCAAAAGTGGTCTCTGTTGTGTGGTGATATTGGGGCGTTCCGCTTCGGGAGTTTGGATGAAGAGTTGACGCCTCCCCACCGCCCAATGATTGATTCTGCGATTGTGGTTTTACGGCTTAGTTTGTCGGGCTTGACCTTTTCTGTGCCTGTGAGAGAGATAGGAGTCCTTGCGTCTCGGGGTTCAGGATTGACAGCTTCGGAATTTCGCGCTTAGGCCTAGGTTCCGCAAGTGCAGCCCTTCCGTCAAGCTCGACGTATCGAGTGTCTGGGAGAGAGAGAGAGAGAGAGAGAGAGAGAGAGAGAGAGAGAGAGAGAGAGAGGGAGAGGGAGAGGGAGGCCTAGGTCCTGGGTTCCAGGTGAGGCGGGTATGAGGGCATGTGCGCTGCAGCCCCTCCTCAAAACAGGTTTAGCGTCTTGGGATTTGGGCGGCTTGCCCAAATGATAGTGCTCAGCAGACGGCCCACAAGCTCTACACACGAGACATGGTGCATTTGTTATCAAGAGTGTGGTGGATGGATGCTGGCACAGCAATTGTTCGGCCGTGAGATACCAGTGCCTTCAAGCCGTCACAGCCTCCCAAACCGAAGCCTCAACCGATGACCAGAGAATATTTGAATCTGAAGCCCCTAAACCATGAGCCCACGCATATACCCCGGCTTGACAGAAGAATGCCTGGCCCTAAACCAGAATTCCTCTCCAAAACCTAAAGACCCCTTTGAAACCGAAGGTGAAGGCCCCGACAGCACTGCCTCGCACAAGAGCCAGGCCCTACCTGAGTTGCATGTTTTCTTTTGTTGAAGGGGTGTGCCTTCTTAAAGAGTGGTTCCGTACATTACAGATTCCACCATGGAGGTTTGTGTTCGCCA